CTGCAAGTGGCTCTTCCTGGCCTACCTGTTCCACTACATCCCCTTCTACACCATGGATCGCATTCTTTACTACCATCACTACTTCCCTGCCCTCCAGTTCTCCTCCATGCTAACAGGTAGATTTCGTATACTGTTGTGTCCCTGTATCTCCAGTTTAAGATACAGAACTTGTCTTAATGATCCAATAAGCTCACATGTGAATTAAACTACCACTGTACATTGTCTCTTTTAAACACTGAATCTCACGTTTCAGCCGTAGTATTTGGTTATCTCCTTGAATCATTGGACACTTGGCTGCCTGTAAGGAAAGCACGTCTGGCTTTCCACTGGGCCACTGGAGTCTTCTTTGCCATCGTGCTCTACAGGTACAGAACAGTTACTTTTTCTCATAATTAATACTTTGGTCATGAAGTTTATGTTAATTCATTCCTCATAGAATCAGATCCACATATATTTTCAATGATTCTCTAGGCTCATTTTTTATCCATATTATCAGATATAAAACTAATTTATATGATTTCGCAAATAACTTTTCCTGTCATTTCATACCACTGTTTTCCTCGATTCCAGCTTCCACTTGTACTGTTACGTTGGATATGGACACCCAACTGTCAGTGGCTTCAACCCGGACAATTCCACTTTCAAAAATATTAGAGTCTTTGATTCTTGGGAAATTTAGGAAAGAGGATACCATCTTGTATCTAAGAATTGTTGAATATTTAGGTCCTGTTGTTATTGTCTGTTTCATTTAAATATTCAATATAGATTTATATTAAGTTAAAAGTATAAGCCTTGTTACATAGTGATAAAAGGGCATTTAATAATTATATGTACATGTGGGATTTTTATTTTACTTGTGTTGCCATATAATTGCCAAGACTAACTTTGACTATATGAAATAAATGTGATATTTTCATTTTGTTTTATATCCCTGACAGAAAATGGTGATCAACAAAATAAATTCTTAAACATAGCTTATAAAGCATTTTAACTTATTCATTCACACAATCTGCTGTGTGCTTTGCTTCCTAAGAAGGAATGTGATTCTGCATGTGGTCCATACTGCACTGAAAGATGCAATTCATTGTATTAAGTTTATTACATAAAGTAATAGTTCACAATACAAGATATGTATTTGCCCAGTCTCATCAGAAATACATTTGACAATAAATAAATATAAAATCAATAGTTTATGAGAAAGAATGTGAAGCAAATTGAATCATCTTTGCAAAATTTACTTTTCTTATTATTGTTTTTTACAGTAGCTTTGTATTAAAAAGTAAAATAAAGGTTGATAAGAAAAGGTATAAAATAGAGAAACTAAAAAGAATGATCAACCAGTCTATTCAAATGAATTGCAAAATAATACTATTTATATAGCAATCAAATCAGAAACTGACCACAATCAGCTTCAGAGAAATAAATTGATGCATACATAGGAAAATACACTTGGAACAGCAACATTTATCAGCGACCATTTGAGACGATGATCAATTTGTTTATGTAATAATATTCTGATAATACATTTATGTCAAATTATTTTATTTGGTAAATGAAATAACATTTATAAAAATTGTGCATCATATAAAAAATATTGACAAACACAAAATAAACATATTTATGTATACAAAAGTGACCTTAAAAAAGGGGTATTCATTTTATTTAGAGACAAAGTTGTACTAATACATATGAAAAAAAATCTTACAGAATATGGAAACAAAGTTTAAAACTTTTGGCATGAACTTTAAACCATGGCAAAAGAGGATGAGGATGATCAACAATAATGATGATAATGACCAACTGTAACTGAGGATAAAGACAAAGTCGGGAAGGACTATGGTATAAAAATAATAATATTTCAAAATGGCAGTGTAATGTAAACCCAAAAACAGTTTGCACAATTTTATAACTAATACAAAATAAATACTTTATCAAAACAAATTTATTTATTGTTGACTTCACTGTGGATGAAAGAAGTCAGTAAAGAGTATACTCCAAGCACAAGTCTTACACCACATTGACACTTCAAAGGTTTCTGTATTCAGAATGGCTGATGTAGCATCAACCGATTCCATACAACCAGGACAATATTCTGTCCTTCGTCTTAGCTTAATACAACGGACCTGTCTCTCGGGGTGTTTCTGCACTTCTAGATACTCTGAGAGCGAGGAAGTTTTGTGTTCCAGCCTTGCTATTTTTACAGATTTAGGAAGGGGCTTGTAACTTTCTTTTTGTTTTAGTTTTTCACCTGTTAATGTGCTACATGTTTCTCTCACTCTGTTTAAAGTATTATCATTTACTGTTTCAAGCATATCTCTCTCATCAACAGCTCGGAAGGTGGTGGTATTTACACTTTCTTCCAGTAGTTCCTCCTTGATATCTAGGCCAATAAAAGGGCTATCAATGTCATGGCAGATATCATCCATCTGACATCCACTGTCACTTGGAGACACTGGCATTTGTTTGATATGATCAATCACCGATTCAGACGGAGTCACAGGAAATTCCCCTTTGCTGATGCCGACTTTATCCACTAGTTTTTGGTTGTCTTCCAATGCATTGCATGTCTCTTTTTCTACTGCTATGGTTTTGATTATCTGTTCCTCTCCTGGCAAATTCACACTGCTATCTTTTGATGCACACTCCTTGCCTATTATCTTACTTTTCTCCTTGGATGAATTATCTTTCTCATGTATGATTGTTCCCTCACATTTGCCACTGGCTATCATCTCCTTAGGCATGTTTCCTGCTACAGAAGTTTGTTCTTCACATGCTTCAGTCACTGGTGTTGTGGAAAGTGTACCTTCCACTTCCTTGGTTTCAGATATTTGTTTTGTTAAATTTTCCTTTGATTTTTCTTGGTATTCTAAAACATCACCCGGCGCAATTCTATTGGCATTGAGGAGCCTTTGAAAGGTTTTCTGATTTGCACTTATGTGGGTAGTACCTAGCTGCACGGCATGTTTTTCTTTTCTTATATGATTAAGGAGCAGCTTGAAATTCTTGAAATTCTGGAAACAAACCTTGCAAATATTTTTCCCACTACATTTTCCTCTATGCTTTTTAAAAGTTTTTAGATATATGAAATAAGTATTACACATCTGACAAAAAAATAGAGTATGATGGTTTTGTGTTGCCATGTTTTCCTTTTCAGTTTTGTTAGGTCCATTGTTGTTGCATTCATCAGTCTGAAGATTTTTTGTATCTACTCTATTTAAGTCCTCTGTCACAAATTTTTCTTGTGAACTCTTTTTAAACTCCTCTTCTAAGGCATCTGGAAATGGTAGAATATGTGCTTGACTATCATATGTTTTAGATGTGTTACAAAATAGTCCTTCTGTAGGTGCTCTTTCCCAGTCCACTGAACTAGAATTAGAACCTTTCTTTCCTGACTCATCTGTCCCTGAGCATGAGAACTTTGACGCTGCACCAACAGGATGTTTTAAGGAAGAGTTGTTTTGACTTTTTAATATCGCCTTCCCTTTTCCTTGCCAGTTCTGCTTGTTTTCTCTTTTACTCAGGTGCTGCTTAACAGAAATGTATTCACTTGTATAAACTCTGCCCTCTCTACACAGCCTAATATACTCTGCCTGTGACACTCTCCTCCAGTCTTCCCGGGTCACAACTTGATGCTGGCTGACAGTAATGTGTCTCTGCAACTCTGCACGGTTACTGAAGGACCTTTTGCAAAATTTGCACACTGGATAAACTCTGCAAAGTTTTAGATGTTGTAGGAAATCATACTTCTTGGTGAAGTAAGTTTCACAGGAATCACAATGCTTCAGGGAGTAAACCATGGTGTTATTATAGTTGCCTGTGTTATCATTCAAGAACCACTCAAATGGAACACAGTCTTCCTTGCTGTTGGCACTTTGGTTAAGCCACACCTCCCACGTGTCTACAAAGCTGATGACTGGAGCAGAGTCTGGCGCATTTTTGTTTGTCTGAAACCAACTGTCGTCAACAGAGATGCTGTCAACACAGCTGTCAAGATCTTCGTCGCTGAAGCAAAGTTTGTCACTATCATCAGTACTGTTTTTTTCACACTGGCTGTGGAGATCCTCGTTTCCTTCTTCACTAAAGCTCGTTCTCATGCCTTAAAAGACAGACAATAATATTAATTTCCTTCATTAGTATCATACTGTATTACAAATTTTGATTCTGAAATTTATAAAACCTCCAATTGCCACTCATAGCCTATGGGATAAATCTGATCTATGGGATAAATCAGAGAATTAAGCATCATTATGCTTAATTCTCCTAAAGTCAATATTGTCTATACCTTGTAAACACATTAATTGGGTAATATGATTTCCGGGAGAAAGGGACGAGATGACAGTAAAAGGAAGAGGAGGAAGAGGAGTAGGAGGAGGAGGAGGAGGAGGAGGAGGAGGAGGAGGAGGAGGAGGAGGAGGAGAAAGGAGGAAGGAGGAAGGAGGAAGGAGGAGGAGAATACTAATGCCACTGTAGTATTTTGTGAAATTTCTCTGCACATAGATGGCTCCACATGTGCTTAGCCGCCAAGGAGTCAATTAATAGACCTTGTGACCTTTCCTTGGGCTTATTTTTTTTTTTTTTTTTTTTTTTTTTATCATAAAGTTTATAACTGTTATATCATTGACATGAACTACTAACAGCAATATAAGATACCAGGAAACGTGTAAACAGGTGAAAGAGTTAGTTCTCGTAAATGGCTCCTTGGTGAGCCATCTATGTGTAAAGCCAATTTATAAACTAACTCATCATGGGCATGGCATGTACATGCATGCCCTTTGCAGCATCGGGATACTAACTAACAATATCAATACTAATAACGATAGCAATAACAAAATACTACTACCATTACTTATTGTCTAATAACAATAAAATAATAACGATTATTCATATATATATATATATATATATATATATATATATATATATATATATATATATATATATATATATATATATATATATACATACATATATATATACATACATACATACATATATATATA